GGCCCCACAGTATTAGGCAGGGTAGCAGCGTGTACTGTTCCTGAGCCCCGAGTATTAGTGGAGTGTTCAGCGAGTAATAATATTGTCCCCAAAGGTATTAGGCAGAGTGTTCAGCGGGGTGGCTGCGGGGGGTCTGGCCTCAGCTCAGACTTCTCAGCAGCTTCGGGGACAGCAACGGCAGAAGACACACATGGAGAGTCCTGCTCCAGCCTTCTTAAGGCCCAAGCAGGACTCTGCCAGTTTCCCTAGCAATGTCCAGCCCAGCGCCATGTTGCCGGGCATCAGAGCATGCTCCCTTGACTTGGGCTGCGCTCTTGAGAGCGCGGCCTTTGTCTTTAGCGGGCGCAGTGCGCGGGAAGCCTTGTGCCCGTGCTGTGCCCGCTGGGGGGGCGCGCGCAGCAACAGGTCAGTGGCACTGCACCGGAGTCTCCTGGGGGGGGGTCACAACTCTTCTGGCTATATGGCCAGGAGAGGTATGATCCTCGCCACAGGGGCCACTTTCCTCTCATCCTGCACAGCCTGTCTTCAAAGGCTGCGGCAGGATGAGAGGACCTGACAAGGGGGGGGGGGGAGGAGGGGGGAGGTGACAAGGGGGACAAGAGGCACAAGGGGGGTGGGGGAAGTACAGCACTCCATGACAGTGCGCCATCATTGGTATCAGTGGGAGGAATAGTGTCCCATCATTGGTATCAGTGGGAGGACTAGTGCTCTATCATTGGTGTCAGTGGGAGGACTAGTGCCCCATCATTGGTGTCAGTGGGAGGACTAGTGCCCCATCATTGGTGTCAGTGGGAGGACTAGTGCCCCATCATTGGTGTCAGTGGGAGGACTAGTGCCCCATCATTGGTGTCAGTGGGGGGAATAGTGCCCCGTCATTGGTGTCAGTGGGAGGAATAGTGTTACATCATTGGTGTCAGTGGGAAAAAACAGTGCCCTATCATTGGTGTCAGTGGGAGGAATAGTGCCCCATCATTAGTGCCAGTGTGGAGAATAGTGCCCCAACATTGGTGTCAGTGTGAAAGTAATAGTGCCCCATCATTGGTGTCAGTGGGAGGAATAGTGCCCCATCATTGGTGTCAGTGGGAGGAATAGTGCCCCATCATTGGTGTCAGTGGGAGGAATAGTGCCCCATCATTGGTGTCAGTGGGAGGAATAGTGTCCCATCATTGGTGTCAGTGGGAGGAATAGTGCCCCATCATTGGTATCAGTGGGAGGAATAGTGCCCCATCATTGGTGTCAGTGGGAGGAATAGTGCCCATCATTAGTGTCAGCGTGGGAGGTATAGTGCCCCGTCATTGGTGTCAGTGGGAGGAATAGTGTCCCCATCATTGATGTCAGTGGGAGGAATAGTGCCCCGTCATTGGTGTCAGTGGGAGGAATAGTGCCCCATCATTAGTGTCAGCGTGGGAGGAATAGTGCCCCATCATTGGTATCAGTGGGGGGAATAATGCCCCATCATTGGTATCAGTGGGAGGAATAGTGTTACATCATTGTTTGCAGTGGGAAAAACAGTGCCCTATCATTGGTGTCAGTGGGAGGAATAGTGTTACATCATTGTTTGCAGTGGGAAAAACAGTGCCCTATCATTGGTGTCAGTGGGAGGAATAGTGTTACATCATTGTTTGCAGTGGGAAAAACAGTGCCCTATCATTGGTGTCAGTGGGAGGAATAGTGCCCCAACATTGGTGTCAGTGTGGAAGTAATAGTAACTCATCATTGGTGTTAGTGGGAGGAATAGTGCCCCATCATTAGTGCCAGCGTGGGAGGAATAGTGCCCCGTCATTGGTGTCAGTGTGGGAGGAATAATGCCCCATCATTGGTGTCAGTTTGAGGAATAGTGCCCCATCATTGGTGTCAGTGGGAGGAATAGTGCCCCATCGTTGGTGTCAGTGGGAGGAATAGTGCCCCATCATTGGTGTCAGTGGGAGGAATAGTGCCCCATCATTGGTATCAGTGGAAGGAATAGTGTCCCATCATTGGTGTCAGTGGGAGGAATAGTGCCCCATCATTGGTATCAGTGGGAGGAATAGTGCCCCATCATTGGTGTCAGTGGGAGGAATAGTGCCCCATCATTGGTGTCAGTGGGAGGAATAGTGCCCCATCATTGGTATCAGTGGGAGGAATAGTGCCCCATCATTGGTGTCAGTGGGAGGAATAGTGCCCCATCATTGGTATCAGTGGGAGGAATAGTGCCCCATCATTGGTGTCAGTGGGAGGAATAGTGCCCCATCATTGGTGTCAGTGGGAGGAATAGTGCCCCATCATTGGTATCAGTGGGAGGAATAGTGCTCCATCATTGCAGTGTGTTAGGCTGAAGAGGAATTGTACCTCACAAGAGGAGTATTATCAACAGGTTGAAGCCATTGGTAAGAAATTCATAGAAAAAGGATATTCAAAAAATATGATAGAGGAAGTTATACAAGTTATCCGTTAAAACATTTTACAAAATTAAAATAATAAATATTAGTAATAATAATAATAATAAAAAATAATAATAAAAAATAAAAAATGTTAACAAAAGTAAAAAAAATATGATAGAGGAAGTTATACAAGTTATCCGGTCTCCACTGACTCTACATTCACTATATCCGCTCTCCCCGGACCCCGCATTCACTGTATCCCGCTCTCCCCGGACCCCGCATTCACTGTATCCGCTCTCCCCGGACCCCGCATTCACTGTATCCGCTCTCCCCGGACCCCACAATTCACTGTATCCGCTCTCCCCGGACCCCGCATTCACTATATCCGCTCTCCCCGGACCCCGCATTCACTGTATCCGCTCTCCCCGGACCCCGCATTCACTGTATCCGCTCTCCCCGGACCCCACATTCACTGTATCTGCTCTCCCCGGACTCCGCATTCACTGTATCTGCTCTCCCCGGACCCCGCATTCACTGTATCCGCTCTCCCCAGACCCCACATTCACTGTATCCGCTCTCCCAGGACCCCGCATTCACTATAACCGCTCTCCCCGGACCCCGCATTCACTATACCCGCTCTCCCCGGACCCTGCATTCACTATACCCGCTCTCCCCGGACCCTGCATTCACTATATCCGGTCTCCCCGACCCCGCATTCACTATATCCGCTCTCCCCGGACCCCACATTCACTATATCCTCTCTCCCCGGACTCCGCATTCACTGTATCCGCTCTCTCTCCGTACCCCAAATTCACTATATCTGCTCTCCCCAGTCCTGGCATTCACTATATCCGCTCTCCCCAGACCCCGCATTCACTATATCTGGTCTCCCACAGTACCCAGAACATGGAAATGCAATTATTTTAGTAAATATAAACTGCTAAATACCTTTTCTCATGAGCAGTATATAGCAGTCTTGTGACTTCTATCAGTGTCCAGCAGAGCACTGGTTAAAATTTTTCTCTAGGAGGATGCAGAACTCTGACCTCTTTCTTGACAGTGCTGATTGACCCTGTGCTGATCACATGCACTCTCTCAAGAAAAAACAAAACTTCTCTAGCAATACACACTAAACTGAGCATATGAGTGTCTCCACATGATATTTCTTATCAAGAGGGGGATACTGGAAGAAGGGGAGGATCAGAGAATACAGGATCAAACATCCTTTTTACACAGTGCAAAGGATTAAACCCCTTAGGTTCCACAGGGAGTATAACCAGCATGCTTTACTGCATATTCAGTGCATCCAGGAAGTATTCCCAGCACTTAACGATTGCCACATTTGTCATGTTACGGCCTTATTCGAAAATGGATTAAATTCATTTTCCCCTCAACATTCTACAAACAATCCCCCATAATGACAACGTGAAAGAAGTTTGTTTTGAAATCTTTGCAATTTATTATAAATATAAAACGAACCCCCCCTCCCCCCCATGTACATAAGTATTCCCAGCCTTTGCTCAATCCTTTGTTGAAGCCCCTTTAGCCCCCATTCCAGCCTCGAGTCATTTGGAGGATGATGCTACAAGCTCGGCACACCCATTTTTGGGCAATTTCTCCCATTCTTCTTTGCAGGACCTCTCAAGCTCCATCAGGTTAGATGGGGGTGTCGGTGCACAGCCATTTTCAGATCTCTCCAGAGATGTTCAATCGGGTTCAAGTCTGGGGCTCTGGCTGGGCCACTCCTGGGCATTCCCAGAGTTGGCCCATAGCCACTCCTTTGTTATGTGGGCTGTGTGCTGAGGGTCGTTGTCCTGTTGAAAGATGAACCGTCGGCCCAGTCTAAGGTCCAGAGCGCTCTGGAACAGATTTTCATCATGGATGTCTCTGTACATTGCTGCATTCATCTTTCCTTCCATCCTGACTAGTCTCCTAGTTCCTGCCACTGAAATACATCCCCACAGCATGATGCTGCCACCACCATGCTTCACTGTAGGGATGGTATTGTCCAGGTCGTAAGCAGTGCCTGGTTTCCTCCAGACATGACGCTTGACATTCAGGCCAAAGAGTTCAATTCTTATTTCATCAGACCAGAGAGTTTTGTTTCTCATAGTCTGAGAGTCCCTCAGGTGCCTTTTGGCAAACTCCAGGTGGGCTGCCATTTACCTTTTACTGAGGAGTGTCTTCCGTCTAGTCACTCTACCATACAGGCCTGATTGTTGGAGTGCTGCAGAGATGGTTGTTCTTCTGGAAGGTTCTCCTCTCTCCATAGAGAAACGCTGGAGCTCTTTCAGAGTGAGTGTCGGGTGCTTTGGTTACCTCCCTGGCTAAGGCCCTTCTCCCCCGATTGATCATTTTGGCTGGGCAGCCCGCTCTAGGAAGATTCCTGGTGGTTCCAAACTGCTTCCATTTATGGATGATGGAGGCCACTGTGCTCATTGGGACCTTCAATGCTGCAGACACTTTTCTGTATTCTTCCCCAGATCTGTGCCTTGTACAATCCTGTTTCGGAAGTCTACGGACAATACCTTTGACTTCATGGTTTGGTTTGTGCTCTGACATGCACTGTTACCTGTGGGACCTTCTATAGACAGGTTTATGCCTTTCCTGATCATGTCCAATCCACTGAATTCCCCACAGGTGGACTCCAATCCACTGAATTCCCCACAGGTGGACTCCAATCAACTGAATTCCCCACAGGTGGACTCCAATCCACTGAATTCCCCACAGGTGGACTCCAATCAACTGAATTCCCCACAGGTGGACTCCAATCCACTGAATTCCCCACAGGTGGACTCCAATCCACTGAATTCCCCACAGGAGGACTCCAATCAACTGAATTCCCCAAAGGTGGACTCCAATCCACTGAATTCCCCACAGGTGGACTCCAATCCACTGAATGTCCCACAGGTGGACTCCAATCCACTGAATGTCCCAAAGGTGGACTCCAATCCACTGAATTCCCCACAGGTGGACTCCAATCCACTGAATGTCCCACAGGTGGACTCCAATCCACTGAATGTCCCACAGGTGGACTCCAATCAAGTTGTGAAAACATCTCAAGGATGATCAGTGGGAACAGGATGCACCAGAGATCAATTTTGAGTGTCATGGTAAAGGCTGGGAATACTTATGTACATTTTTTTTTATTTTATTTTTATTTTTAATAAATTGCAAAGTTTTAAAATGAACTTTTTTCACGTTGTCATTATGGGGTATTGTTTGTAGAATGTTGAGGAAAAAAATGAATTGAATCCATTTTGGAATAAGGCTGCAATATAACAAAATGTGACAGAAGTTAAGCGCTGGGAATACTTTCTGGATGCAATGTAGATGCTGCACTGGACAGGAGGGTTAGGGGTAATGGTATTGCTGGGTTTTTCTTTGGCAGTATTTTTTTGGCTCTGACCCACTGATCCAGTGCCTATAAAAAGTGACAGTGTCCTGGGCCCTTGTCCTTGTTCACTGTCCTGTAGTCTTCAGCTTTGGGGACTCCCCTCTGCATGTTACCACCATTGCCAGAGTCCAGGATCACCTACCTTAAGGAGTCTTCTCCAATGTAGGGGGACTGCTGGAAGCTGTAGACAGCCCTGAAGCTACTAGATATGTGCAGAATGGAATTTTTCTTTGTTTCGGATAGATTCCAATTGTTACTAATTTTGTTTTGTTGATTCGTTTTGTTTATTTTCTAAAGAGTTCCAAATTTTCTATATAATTATAATTCAAATCAGTAGAAAAGTGATTGTCATTCTGAATTCTGTGTGAGGAATAGCTGGTTGCTAAGGAGCGGGCCGTAAAGTCGGAAGCCGCGTCCTTAACAACCAACGACTCATCGGTTGTCAGCGAGTTTCTCTGCTGACAGCTGAATGTAAAGAAAAGAACTTCTGGCAATTAAATATAAAAGAGAAAAAAAATAATACAGTAAGACAACTCCGCCCCCAATCCATATCAGGCCCTTTGGGTCTGGTATGGATTTTCAGGGGGGGTCATGTAGAAAGAAAAAAAAAAAATTGTAGTAGACCCTTATCCAATCATGCAACCCAGCAGGCCAGGAAAGGGGAGGATGAGCAAGCACCCCCCTTTACTGTACCATACCAGGCCACATGCCCTCAACGTGGGGAGTGTTTTGGGGCAGGGGGCTCACCCCCAAAGAAATTTGTCCCCATGTTGATGAGGACTTCCCCACAATAGTAGAGTTACTATTTACTCATTTACATGGATGGCACCGTATTTGGGGCCCTCTTAAAGGGGACTTCCATATTCTGATAAGACCCCCCCAATCCAGAGTTGTGGGAAAGAAACCCTAGTCCTCATCAATATGAGGACAAGGTACATTGTCGGGGGATTCCCAATGGCAAGGTTCCTCCCCATGTTCAGGGATGTGGCCTCCTATGATTCAGTAGGGGGGCACACACTCATTCTCCAATTTTCTTGCCTGCCAGGCTGTGTTCTTGAATAAAGGTTTGGAATGGAGTTTGTGTGGACCCCAAGCCATTTTTTCTATGGTGGTACCCATGATCCCCCTATCAGACCCTCATCAAGGACAAATGTCTGGTATTTATTTTTAGGAGACAGCTCAACTTTTTTTGTCAAATCCCCAATTAACAGCTACACCAGATCTTCATCTAGAAAGAGGTAGAGATGAAGGGAATCCCGGAAAGTTTGTTTACAAACAGAAGGAAGAGTCCAGGAACTGTCATTTACCCTCAATTTAAATGCATTCTTTACTCTGGTTGTAGGTTGTATACATTGTACAGATGTGTCCCTTCACAGGCCAGTGAACCCCCAAGACTTCTTCTTTAATTGAATTTCAAATGTTGAATGGTGCCCTTTAAGAATTAATAAAATTGCTGCTCCCAGCCAAACAGATTTTTAAAATTTGTTGGTGCAGATAACATGCTGATGGTGATCGATCTCACGCACCCAGTTCTAACAAGTGGAGGAGGAGCCCACAATGCTCTGGGCCTCCCTCTCAAACATGGTGTCCACGTGAACCTCTGACACAGAAGTCTTGGCCAATGATGGCCAGTCCTGTGGACTGGATGGAGGTGGTAGCAGGACTTGGGACGGGGGGGGGGGGGGGGGTGAAGGGGCAGAATCCCTGGGTGCAACAATTCACTGGGGGGGGGCTGCATAGGTGGAGTGCAGTGAGATGACATAGCACAGTACTGGATAAAGTCAGCCGGTGGAAAGTTGTTGGCTGAAGATTCCCAGAAGATTACCGCTGCTGGCCATACCAAAACATGCACACACAGAGCAGCAGCATCAGGATTCTGAATAATGGAGCGGTCCCTGGGCTCCTTGAGCACCCGGTCGGCACTAGCAGAAACACCCACCTAACACTTCACTGTCAGAGATGTGATCTTCTGATGCTGAACAACTTGGATGAGGTACTAGGAACTGTGGGATACTTGAGCACTAAACCATACTAGGAGGACCCTCTTTATTCTTCAGATACTTCTTGGAAGAGTTCCTTCAACAGTATCTCAGGAAATGGACTGCACCATAGGCAATGTCCCTGAGCAGCAAGCATTAGTGCACCAGGGGTTCAGGGGTCAACCGCAGCACCTCTCACCCAGATCCTGCACCTAGGTCTATATTCACAAGTCCTTGGGTACTTGGATACCCTCATGCATGGTCAGAGAGACATTTTCCCTTGCCCTTCTTTAGCTTCAGAGGGTTTTAGCAAGTAGGCTCCCCAACTTTATAATAGCCAGGACCTCAATGAGCTCAACTAAATCTCAACTGGGCTGCCTGGGAGGGCGGCAACCCTCCAGGCTAGGAACTTCTCCTCCTGAACTGTTCCAGACCTCAGACTATGTATGTGATCTGCAGCCACCTCCTGGGCACACCTCTCTAGGGACTGGTTGAGACCTAAGGCTACTCATTTGACATGCTTTACGCCTATGTTCTGGAACCTTCCAGAAGACAGGGTGAAGCAATCCAGCCTGCAGCCTGTGCAACCCTGATCAGTCCAAAGCAATTAATTACTGCCCCACTGATTATAGAACATCCCAAAAGCACTGAACTAGGAGGGTGCTGCATATAGATGAAGGGAATCTCCAGCCATTGAAACAAAGGAGCAGCACATAGTTCTTGTCTTTCAGCGGATCAGTGGGTGTTGGGCGATGTGATTGATGTGGATCTACTTTACTAGATGATGCAACGGACAATGGATTTGTGTGACAATGTGATAACTTATTTAGTTATTCACATGGGATAGTATATGGGGGGCACTGATTCATCCACAGTACCAGGACAAGTCCATCTAGCACCCAGGGCAAGGATGAAGAACTGCAGCCCCTCCCACCTGTTAATTCATGCCATATAAATGGGTTTCTGATCCTGTGTCCATTCTCTGCCCCTTTGTTGCACAGTGCCCAGGGCAGCTGCCCCTCCTGCCACCTCTTGATGAGCAGGGCCAGGACAACATGGGACAAGGTGTTTTTCATGGGGTCCCCCTGGCAAGTCACACTCCATGGTGAGGGATGTGGACTGGTATGGTTCAGAAGGGGGAAGCTGCATGCTCATCACTATTCCCCTATTCCTGGGCAGTCAGCTTTTTTAGGGGAGTTAAAAAATGTTTTTCTTGATTTTTTTTGTGTGGGATTCCCATTCTGGTCTGGTATAGAATGTAGGGAAACCCTCATGACATTCTTTTTTTAATTTTCATGGGTTTTCCCTTAAAATTCACATCAGACCTAAAAGGGTCAGGTATGAATTGGGGGAACCACATGCCATTTCTACTTATCCTGGATCCATTGTTTCTATTGCTGGGGGGTTCCCACCATGTATGTAAATGGGGCCGGTGACATCACTGGTTGTTAAGGACTCGGCAGTGCCTGCACCCACTGGATCCTTAGCAACCAATGACAGTGGGTAGCCATCATATGTAATGGTGGAAGTAATCCTGATATTATCAGCTCCCACCAGATCAGTAAATGTTCAGGGATTTGGACCCATTAGTGTTCAGACTGAACCTTAAGGTCCTCCCTCCTCTTCTACATGAGAGATGGAGGTATAATGGGTGCTGCTTAGATCAGCCTCTCCACAGTATAGGGAGGCATAATGGCTGAGCGTTTATTTCAAAGAAACCAAATTATCTTCACTTTCCTGTTACAGAAATTTTATAGAAAACAGCCAAGCCCTTTCTGCCGTAAGCGATAATTACCTGTATAGTAACCCCCCCCCACCACAGACCAGTCATATATCTGGAAGGAGTATATCCTCATATTTCTGTACAAACCCCGAGAGGGAAATCTCTGACCCAGACACCTTCACTACAACAAATCGTCACCTACAAAGATTATTCTACCAGTAAAAAGACTGAAATCAGGAAATACGACATTCCACATATATATACCTTGCTTAGGGATTACAGCAGTTATGTGGTTTTATATCTCTGACATATACCGCAGTGCTGTACAGAGAACATTTATGGTATCTCCCAGAAGTGAGTCCCCCTCCCCCGGACTGTATACAATATATATACATACACACATATACAGTATCTCCCAGAAGTGAGTCCCCCCCCTCCCCCGGACTGTATACAGTATGTGTATGTATACTCACACAGTATCTCCCAGAGTCCACCCCTCCCCCGGACTGTATACAATATATATATACACACACACACATATACAGTATCTCCCAGAAGTGAGTCCACCCCTCACATTTGTATCAATATTTGATTCTCTCTTTCATGTGACAAAACACTGAAGAAATGACACTTTGTTACAATGTGACGTAGTCAGTGTACAGTTTGTATAACATGGAAATTTGCTGTCCCCTCAAAATAACTCAACACACCGCCATTAATGTCTAAACTGCTGGCAACAAAAGTGAGTCCACCCCTAAGTGACAAGGTCCAAATTGGGCCATTATGCCTCCCTATACTGTGGAGAGGCTGATCTAAGCAGCACCCATTATACCTCCATCTCTCATGTAGAAGAGGAGGGAGGACCTTAAGGTTCAGTCTGAACACTAATGGGTCCAAATCCCTGAACATTTACCGATCTGGTGGGAGCTGATAA